GGACGTGTAGGAATGTATTTTCTTGGGCTGCATGAAATGTCACTGGAAATGAAAAATCAAAGCTAGCTAGGGTTCCTTATGTGAAACATCCTACAGATATTCTCAACTACAACTCCCATCGTCCTTGACCATTTGCCATGCCGTCAGGAGCAGATGGGAGCTTCAACAATATCTGGACAACACCACATTGGCTACCCCTAACATAGACACGCAGCAATAATAAAATATTCTTAACTGTAATAAGAGTTTTTCTGCTTTCTTTGGTGGATCATAGGTGATGGTTCTCCAACCATTGTTCAGACACCACAGTCAGTGATACAGCGGCCAGACAGCAAGGTATCTCTTAATTGCAACATAAATGGGGGATCCAACCCCAATATCTACTGGTACAGGCAAATTCTCAAAGGACAGATCCAGCTGCTTGCCTATTCTGTTGCCGTGGGATCCTCATCTGCCGAGGGACCGCCCCACATCCAAGGATCAAGACCTGAAGACACCAAGTTCTTCCTGAGCATCAAAAACCTCATGGCCAATGACACTGGGATTTATTATTGTGCCTGGAGCCCACACACTGTGCAAAGTGAATGTAACACCTCAACAAAAACCCTCCTCCTTGCTTGTGGCTCCGTCTGCTCCCACACCGCAGGGAAGTGGGGAAAAAGGTGTATTCTTTGAGGCATCAAGTTCCTTCCTGTTGAAATCACAAGGAACGGGGCCCACATTAAATGCCTCCTGAAAATCGCGGCTCAGCTGAACAATGCACAATGTGACGAATTTGTGGGGTGCCTGAACACACACCCCTTCTAATTTCTGGATGCCAGACACTGGGTTTAGCATGGTTAAAATACAGACCAAAACTGTCTTCCCATGAGTCGTCAAGCAAACAGAGACAGGGTGATGATCCATGAAGGAAGCCATCAACAATGGACTGACTCTGAGAGAGATGCAGAGCAGTGAAGCAGCACTCGGGTGAACAACATGTGAAAAACAGCTGCTGCAGATATAACAACAACAACAACAATAATAATAATAATTTATTATTTATACCCTGCCCATCTGGCTGGGTTTCCCCAGGCACTCTGGGCAGCTTCCAACAAAGATTAAAAATACATTAAAACATGTGTTATGTGCATATGTGTTATGTGTATAGATACAAAACAATATATCCATCAAGAGCCGCTAGATGTCACCCTGTCCCTTTTTACACTATTGTCAAAGGGATGCTGGATGTTATTTTTGTGGCCATAAACCCACCTGGAATGTCACCTCCTTAGCAGAGGTGGAAAGTGATCCATTGCAGCAACAATTTGGGATTTCTAAATAGAACACTTATGTGAGTAGCAGCCTGTATGGAATATCAGCTAAGACTTTACCTGTGAGTTTAGGGAGAAGTTATAAGCTGGCTCAGCTCCAGCCTCCCACCCTTATTATCTTTCCTGCATTGGAAAAGTATTGATATCCCTTACAGGGTTGTGGTAAGGAGCACCAGGATGGTGGCTGGGTCTTCTAAAGGATCTACATTGGCTCCCAGTACGTTTCTGACCACAATTCAAAGGGTTGGTGCTGACCTTTAAAGCCCTAAACAGCTTTGGTCCAGCATACCCGAAGGAATGTCTCCACCCCCATCATTCAGGTTACAGGGAACCAGGCAGAGGGCCTTCTCAGTAGTTGCACCTGCACTGTGGAACACCCTCCCACCAGGTGTCAAGGAAATAAACAACTATCTGGTTTTTAGAAGACATCTGAAGGCAACCCTGTACAAGGAATTTTTCAATGTTTGATGTTTGAATTTGTTGGAAGCTGCACAAAGTGGCTGGGGTAACCTAGTCAGATGGGCAGGTTATTATTTATTTTTATTTGAACACCTTTTCTCCTACCTCCTTTATTTTTTATTTTTTTAAAACATACACTGCTCTTCACATGTAAATAGATCCCAAAGAGGTTCACAATATACACATAACCTTTAAAAATAATAAATAGCAACAGCTACAACATCCAGATAGCCATATGGTTTCAACAACTGCCGCAGCAGGAACCCAAACAGAACTCAAATATCTGTCGTTGGGAAATGCCAGGCTAAAAACAAAGATCTCTGGGCAAGCCAAACATCATTGCTGCACACCTGAATGCCACAGGGAGCTCAGTTCACAGCTACAACATACGTTTAAAGCACATTTCACAAAGGCCTTCCTTTGTATTAATCGCCACCATGTGTTCCCTGCCAGATGCATCCATGTGCCCCCTTTCCTTCCTTGACATCACTTGTGCCTGTTGTGTCACTGCAGTGGCAACACCAAAAAGAAATAAGAAATTGGGTGGGGGCACTAGAAGGGGCAAGGCACATGGAGTGGGGGGTTAACTTTGTCCCACAGGTTAGATTACAATGAAGTGAAAAAGTAGATCCTCCAAGTGTCCCTATTTTCCAGGGACAGTCCCAGATTTACAGAAGCCAAGCTGATTTCTGATTTGACCCTGGAATTTCCCACTTTTCCTTAGGACGTCCCTATTTTCGTTGGAGAACTGGGCATGAGATACACGTAGTAAAAAAACAACCAGTGTTTTAATGAGGTAGCATCTGCAACAAGGAAGCTGGCAGCCACCTAGTGGGTGCCACAAAAAAACTGGCTGCATGGAGTTATCCAACCCCTAAGCAGCCCTGTACAGTGGTACCTCGGGTTGCATACACTCCAGGTTACATACGCTTCAGGTTACGGACTCCACTAACCCAGAAATAGTGCTTCAGGTTAAGAACTTTGCTTCAGGATGAGAACAGAAACCGTGCTCCGGCGGCAGCAGGAGGCCCCATTAGCTAAAGTGGTGCTTCAGGGTAAGCACAGTTTCACGTTAAGAACGGACCTCCGGAACGAATTAAGTACTTAACCCGAGGTACCACTGTATAGAGAAGTTTTTCTAAAAATGTTTAATGCTTTATTATGTTTTTTATATGTTGGAAGCCACCCAGAGTGGCTGGGGAAACCCAGTCAGATAGATGGGGTACAAATAAAAATTATTATCATTATTATTATTAATGATGGAGGGTATGAGATCAACAAGGTCAGGGTGATATCCAGGAATACTCTGCTACAGAGCACACCATGCCATGTGTTGTTGATCTTCAGACACTCATCCTGGAAGAACAAAACTTCAAAAGGGAAACTTTTACAATGGTCACATGCGTACCATACATTTAAATCATATGGCTCCTACTGCCCCAGGAATCCTGGGAATTGTAGTTTATTAAGGGTGCTGGGGAATTACAGCTACGTTGGGTGTAGGCTACAGTTCCCAATAGTCTTTGGGGAAAGCCATGTGTTTTAAATTTATGGTGTGGATATTTGGAGAAGCTGACATGAGATAACTCTTTGCCCATAAGAAACCAAATGCCTTGTACTTCCACTGTTATACTGTGTACATCTATACTGTACTCTGTATTCAGTAGCCTTTGCTTCTAAGGTCCAGACAAATAACTAGTTTCTAAGGCCCTGTGAGAAGAAGGCCCCCCAAGGCAACAGCTCCGCTGTCTCTCGCTCTTCTCTGTCACAATAAAAACTGAATTAAAAAGGAAATGGCACAAGGACATGCTGAGGACACATTATTCTCACAGTAAGAGTCATCTAGGCTACTCAGCAGCCTTCAGAAAGCAAAGGAAAGAGAGGACTCGATGTCGCTGAAATCCAGAGTGCTCATTTGTTATGGAGGCATGCTTGTGTCGGCAGGGGAGAGGTATCAAAACACGTCAGGAGTGGTGCAAAACAAATACCCACTGAACTTTCCATTTGAAATGCGGCACACACTGACCACAACCGGTGCACCTGCATCACAGAGCAACAGCTTTTGGCTGAGGCAGGAGATTGATTGTGCGATAGCGCCAGGCCCTGAAGCCGCCATTGTGGGTGGGACAACATGTGCTATTTCTAACCGTGGCAGGAAAAGTGCCTGATCACCGAAGCCCCATGCTGCAACGAAACCTGCTCTGTGGTAACCACTGCTTGAGAGAAACACGCAAATGTCAAGCCACATCCTGTTGTGCGCATGAATGCCTCGCTTGCTTATTTTCTTAAAGGGGACGTTTTCGAGGTTGGCTAAGCAAATGACCCAATTTCCACAGGTCCGTGTAAAACATTGTTTCCCAACCTTGGGTCTCCAGCTCTTTTTGGACTACAATTCCCATCATCCCTGACCACTGGTCTTGCTAGCTAGGGATGATGGGAGTTGTAGTCCAAAAGGAGCTGAAGACCCAAAGTTAGGAAACAGTGATCTAAAACATCCTTGTTGCGTAGCAAAAGCTCATGATGCTTCTCAGTTTGGTGCTTCTAGGTGACTTTAAAAGCACGTTGGGCACAAGCGACATGCACCTTGAAGAAGAGAGAACTTTGGCGGGCACAACTTGTCATTCAGGGGCAAGGATTTTCCACCTTTAAGGACCCCTGACCATTAGGTCCAGTCGTGGCCGACTCTGGGGTTGCGGCGCTCATCTCGCTTTACTGGCCATGGGAGCCGGCGTACAGCTTCCGGGTCATGTGGCCAGTATGACCAAGCCGCTTCTGGCGAACCAGAGCAGCGCACGGAAACGCCGTTTACCTTCCCGCCGGAGCAGTACCTATTTATCTACTTGCACTTTGACATGCTTTTGAACTGCTAGGTTGGCAGGAGCAGGGACCGAGCAACGGGAGCTCACCCCATCGCGGGGATTTGACCTTCTAATTGGCAAGTCCTAGGCTCTGTGGTTTAACCCACAGCGCCACCCGCGTCCACTGTTAATCAGTAGCAAAACTTGTATTTGCCCAACACTCTTGCTTTCATGATGTCATAATGCCTTTATTTCAAAAGCATTAAATCTATATTTAGCTAAAACAACCCTTGCCCTCCCTGCTAGCAAGCAGTCACAAGAAAACACATAGCCTCTCTTTGGAAAAAGACATTCACAACATGACCTTAGTTTGGATCTGAACTATTTTGACGCAACAGTTTATGAAAGGAAACACAGGAGTCTCAGCAAAAAGGATTCGGCGACTTTACTAAAAAACGTATCATGTTGGCTGCGGCTCGATCTCTGCACAAGAGTGATGCACAAGGCTCCTTGAAAATCAATAGTACTTTAAGGTTGGAAGTCTAAGCATATGTATTTCCTAGTAAACATAGTTAAAAGTGGCATGAAAGACAAGGAACTCTGGGGGGAAAGTGCTGTGGCCTTACTAAAATAAAGCATTTAATATTTTTAAAGTGTTTTTATTGAAAAGTTTTGGCATAAAATACAATAAGAATCAAGCTAGCTTATAGAACAAGAATATTAAAAAAGCCAAAAGATAAAAAGTAAGAGGGGGGAAATACTTATATGGCCGTTTTCCATATTTATATCATGTATATACTGTCATTTATCCCTATGCAGAGAGGTAGACCTTCCCATCTTCCACCTGGGAGCTTGCTTTTCTCCCAGCCTCTCACCCTGGGAGATCTTTTCTACCCTACAGGGACACCCCCACCAACTGTCCCCTGCCTTTGTGTGTCCTCCTCAGTCCAAGGTAAAGGACTTCTCCCCCCCCCCAAAAAAAGCTTTTTATAAATGTTTCCAATGCAAAATAATAAAGCATTTAAGAGAACCAAAGAGAGATTATTTACTGACTGACCCTAAGCGACTGTTTTTGTTTTAAGAAAATGCTACTTTGGATTTCCGAGGTTGAGAGTATCCATCTTCCCTTCTGTCTTCATGGAGTTCACTCAGCTCAGGATAGATGCCCCCCGGGTAAAACGTGCCTATGGTGCCAACTGTCATGGAACAGGAAACAGAACAGAGCAGATTGTTACTTCTGGGCTAAATGCACCAGAATAATGAAAGATCTGGGGTGGGGGGGTCACAGAGTGGTTTTCCGCAGGGAAAAGCAACACAACAAGAAGAAGTATGGATTAGCCTGTGGTGTTTAAAGGCTAAACAGAGTGAATTCAGTGCTGGGTCACAGCAGAAGAATCCGTATGCCACATTTTCAAAAGAAATTGGTGGGCCCAGGGCGGAAAGAATCAACACTGTACTTTACCTTTTTTCTTAGTTTTAATCCCATCACAAAGGCTCCATACAAGGTGCTTTTGAGAATGAGAAGAATATACACCAGTTCCCCAAGATAGGCTTCCGTGAGATACGACTCTAAAAATCAAGGGTGGGAAAGAAATGTGAATGACCACAAGGTCTTCTACAGACGGTGGAGGTAGAACATGGCCATCATGACGACAACTCCCATCATCCACCCTGCTAGCTGTGGATGATGGGAGTTGTAGTCCCAAAGCAGCTGGAGGCCCAAGTTTGGGAAACCCTGGCCAAAAGTCATCCAAGCTGGTAGCCATCACCATATCTTGTGGCAGCAAATTCCACAGTTTAACTCCCCCACCACCACAATATATATATATTTGTACAAATAGTACCTAATATACCATTCCGCCCCGCCCCCCCAAAGAAATATTCCATACTACAATGCATTTTTATACATGATTTTCCCTAACTGAAGCATTTTTGGGTGCCCTTTCCCATAAGGTATGCTTCCTTCGTGTGTGCCTTTTTTGGATGGAGAACGTCAACATAAAATTCAGAAAAGTGTGACAGCTGCATTTCTGTCTGCATGCTGGTTCAGGAAAATCTTCCTTTAGTTTGAGATGATATTGGGCACTTAAAGGTGGCTGGGAAATACCCAGTCTAGGGCTGTTCAGTCTAGGGTTTATGGAACCAATCAAATATAAGGAGGAAGAAATTTAGATAAAGTTCAGATAAAGCTTGGCCAGCTTCAAGGAACTGCTTGTGTTTGTGCACCAGCTTATATTCAGACAGCACAATTTTCAGGGTTACATATTAAAACAGCACACAAGGCTCTGCATGAAGCAAGCAACTAACCCAGAGAACAAGTATTGGCAATTCCTATTTGTGTAGCTTTTGACTGGAGGAACGGAGGTTATTAGATGAACAGATCTGTCAATGGGCAAAGAAACATGGATCAAAATGCAGACATCTGCCTATCTACAGTTGCTGCGCTAATATTGTACCCATCCAGGATCAGGGTCAAAACCAAGGGTTCAGACTGGGGTCAAAGCCTTCTGAATAAGACGGGAGCAGGTGCTTTCTTGCAGGTTCTAGGGCCATTTTGGAAACAGCAGGGGAGGTCTACAGAGGACAGCTTGGAACATCCTCAAGCCTTGCTACACCTGCCTTCCCTGTTTATTCCTGAAGGATGGGGCTATTATTCTTCTCTCGCGGTGCTGGAGGCCATGGAACAAGATCTACAGGCAATCTACAGTTGCCCTCATCTGCTCTGAGACTTCTGCTGGGGGTTGGGGTAGCAATATTGCTATCCCTTCACCATGTTGGAAGCCCAGGATGATGACACGCCTGTATGGGTGCCCTGGAGGCTATCAGTAGGTGAGATGACGTTTATCATGGATTGTGTTATGTCCTGAGTTGAATAGGATCCAAAATGCAGCAGTCTGATTGGTCCTAGAACAATAGGATCCAAAATGCAGCAGTCTGATTGGTCCTAGAACAATAGAATTCAGAATGCAGCAGTCTGATTGGTCCTAGAACAATGTAGCAGTATGATTGGTCCGCAGGAGCCACCCAATCCAACTCCAGGTGGAAGTGAATGCACAACCTGATTGGCTACAGGAGAATCCCGGAATTAGCCAATTGTGTAAATAATGTATATAAAGCAGATGTTTTGGGGGAACTCTCATTCCTTCTCACCACTATGAGCTGAATAAAGAGCATGAAATCCACTCTCGACTCTGAGTATATTTTAGACTGGCTGTGCCAAAATGTTTTGGAGCAGAACCAAGAGGTCCCCCTGCTGCCCAGTCACACTGAACTCAGAAGTAATCAAACCTACACAGGTAACCTCCTGCCTTCATGTACAGATCGTCATCCTCCCTAAACAGGAAGCTGTGTACACTGAAGTCAATGGGACTTAATTCCGACCATGTTTATTGCAAGCGCTGTTAGGTAGAAGACTGGTTGGCAGAAGAGCTCTAGCTCACTGGTAGGGCATCTGATACAAAGCTCCCAAGGTTCAAACCTTGGCAACTCTAGGTAGGGCTGTGAGAGACCTTTGTAGAAATCCTGTACGGTTGCTGCCAGCCAGTGCTGACAAACTGAGCTAGGTGAGTCAGTGGTCTGGCTCAGTATAAGGGAGGTTTCTTGTGTTTTTATTTCCAATGAAATTCCAGCATTGAAAGCACAAGGTAATGTTGGTTTACCTCTTGCAGCCTCGCTGCCGCCACCACAATCTGAAAGCAGAAGGGGGAGAAGACACATTAGCTATCCTTAGAGCTGGAAAAACTGAAAGTAGACAGGGAAAGTGACAGGTGGGCATGTGGGGTGGGGGTGGGGGGTACTATTTCCAAATGTGCATGTACTTCTCCTGAATGTCCCCAGAGGTTGTGTGTAAAAAAAGGGGGGGGATAATGAACAATGTATTGATAGAAAAATGATCTCCCCCTGCCCCTGCAAAAGGCAGGAATGGAATCTTCCTTGAATATTGGCATCAGAAGATTTGGCTATGTGTGGAAACAGCCACAATTTCTCGAACACATTTAGGGAAACTACATGCTATTTGGAAATCCATTGAGGATCAGTTTGTAGAATAAGACAAATGCAATGAAAGGAGTTCATCAACAAATGTTTGAATATGATAGAACACATTACTAGGAAAATGTATTAGAGATGAGGAATGGTTTGCAGTCAAATGGATCTGGGAGCATTTTGCCCATGTACAGTGGTACCTCAGGTTACATACGCTTCAGGTTACATATTCTTCAGGTTACAGACTCCGCTAATCCAGAAATAGCACTTCAGGTTAAGAACTTTGCTTCAGGATAAGAACAGAAATTGTGCTCCGGTGGTGCGGCAGCAGCAGGAGGCCCCATTAGCTAAAGTGGTGCTTCAGGTTAAGAACAGTTTCAGGTTAAGAACAGACCTCTGGAACGAATTAAGTACTTAACCAGAGGTACCACTGCAAATAAAACTTTTAAAAAATGTGACCAGGACTGTGTATGGTACAAAACTACAGGAATGCATAGAGAACGTGGTGGCTTGTGGTAGATTTCACCTTCCGGGGAATCTGAGCTCCCTAGTCTTTAGGGCAGTCTTTGCTAACCTGCTTTTCACTTACCTGCACCATTTATGTCATCCTCATAGTCTGTGGATCCTTCTGTACCGTGGAAACTGACTCTGCACACGAACTTATTATCTGCATTCTGCCACTCTTCCTTGGTGATTCTTAAACGGCTGGTCATTGAATAGCGCTTCGTGGTTTTGTCATATACTGGGTCCTCTGTCTTTACCCCAGCAGTTCTCTTCTCGTTATTCACGGTCCAGCTCAGGGCGACATGATCTGGGAAGAAATTGGTGACTAAACACACAATGGTGGCTTTCTCCTTTTCGTCAACCTCCTGCTTGGGCGGGGCAAAAACGGTCACTTGAGGGGGGCTGACATCTTGGTCAACTCCTGGAAGAGAAAGGAACAAGCACATGGTATACAGAGATGATATACCTCCTTGACCTTGAGTTGGCTATTTTGCCACTTTCAACGACATCACTTTCAACTTGCACGTGCAAACAGGCCATTGTGGATTTCACTTCTCCCTTGATGTCACCTGAAACTGGGGATGTGCAGATCGGTCCATAGTGGCATTCCCCAGTTGCCCCATTTTCCCAATCTTATGTTAACTTCTCCACATTTCGGCATCCGTTTGAGATTTATTTTAAAGTAAGCATGAAAAATTCCAACTCTAAATAGACACATGTGAACTGAATGAACTTTATTACGGTCACAGACCAGGATAAAAACCAAACAAAAAGCAAAAAACCTATAAATAAAATAGCAGTTAGGATTTTTTTTTTAACCGATAATTGTTAGAGCAAATAAGGACAAAGAAACAAGCATTGGATAAAACATCTGAATAAAATACTAGATTAAACACAGATAATGGATGGATAAAAACTGATAATTAAAACAGATAAAAACTAAAAACAAATAAAAACACGCTGTTAAGACAACTGTAAGAGGCTGCAGAGTAGAAGCCCCTGAAATAGAGGACACTCACAACATTAGAAACTGATGTGCAAATATGGTTAAAACAGACAATTAAAACAATGTACAACAATAAACTATCCCAGGGAGTTGACTCAGAGTCACCCATGGGACCGAGTTGGGGGATTTTCATGCCGGACTATTTTGTGTTGGCCGATGGTCTGCGCCTACAGATTTGTACACAGAATCTGGCGACCATCCAGGTCATCTTCTGATCTTTGCCTAACAGCAAAAGGTCAATTTTTTGCTTTTGCGGGAGGTTGGCGAGCCTCACCAGTGTACGCATTTTTGCCTGCTACACAAATCTTTCCCTTAATAGAAGGCATGGGTGTGTGTTGTTTTTATCTGTGTTTTTGGGCACACTTCACTTGGCTGAAGATCTGCATTGCAAAATTCGGAGAAGGACAAATTTCGGAAGGTGTCTGTGTTTCAGTTTTCGTATTGTTTCAGAAAGGGCAAAGTAGGCAGAATTGCCTTCAAATGCAAGCTGCATAGAATTTATAGCCCAACCCTATGAAACACAGCACTTTTTAATGGTGTGAGTTCACAGAGTCAGCTGCTAATCACTGTTGAGGAATCAAGTAATGAGAGGATAAAGAGGTCGGGATTGGGGGTGAAATTCAATTAAGTTTGCATTTAAAGGCGAACCTACCAAATTCACACTTTCTGAAACATGATGCGAATTAAAACACACACCAGCCTTCAAAACCCACACTTCTCTGAATTCTGCAATGCAGTTCTTCGGCCTAGCGATCTGTGCAAAAATACTAACGTAAAGTGTGCATGGAAATGCATATATTCATGAAAGTAACATGCAAAAAACACGTATATTACCGGTAAATGGAATTGCATACAAAAATGTGATTATGAGGAGGAATTCACACTAAAATGCTGACCAATTTTCAGGATGATTAAAAACAACAACACAGAGATTGCTGCGGAAGTACGGAGAGCTGAATTTACGGTTGGAAAAATGAGAATCTGAGAGAACCAAAATGGACAGATCCATTCCAACCCTACAAAGGAGATGTGGAGGTGCATGAGTGAATTGGAATTCTAGGAAGCCCTATTCAAATGGCATCATTTCTGTGGGTAATCTACATGCAGAGGGCAGGGGGACTGGAGAGAGGTCAGCTTGTGCTTGAGACCAGTAAAATCACATGAATATCATATTCACAAGAGTTTGGGTTTACTGCAGCTTCCTGTTGAGTCCTCGTTCGTGGCTAACCAAAATGTATGAAACGGCTCTTACAATCTTCCTGCATACAAGACTTGTGTCTGAATCCCGAGTCAGGGTTTCTATTGAATTCTGCCCCCACCTGTTGTACAAGGAGGCCACAAATATTTTTTAATTCTCGTTGGAGGATCAGCGCCTACTTTCAATATGTAGAGCATATGTTATGGATAGAGCTTGGCCATATTCTTTGGAGGGGGAAATTGTGGCCACAAAACTTTGTTCTATCTAGCCCATTAGAACTACTAAATAACTTACTAAAGAAATTTATTATTATTATCTTTCCGCAGGTCTGCAAGACAGAGCTGTTCCACCAGGCCTTTGGCCAGGGCACAGCCTGACTCCCTCCTTTGGCAATCCTCACGGAACTCAATGGTTGCCATTAATTTGATTGGAATTAATTTTATAATGAAATGATTTTAGAATGTTTTATCATTTTATTGTTGTTAGCCGCTCTGAGCCTGGCTTCGGCTGGGGAGGGCGGGATATAAATAAAAATTATTATTATTAGGCAGAGCCCTCTCCTCCTAACCCAGACCCCTCAGGTCCTTTTAACTGGTTATGCCAGGAGGATGAACTTTGAGCTAAGGGCTTTCCACACTTCTGGAGACAGCAAAGAGCTAATCCGCGTATGTGGTGTGCGTGTTTTTAAAGGTGTTCTATAGACAAATAATGGCCAGCATTATTATTATTTGTATTGTGTTCTCTCTAAATCCAGAAATGACTACGTAGGAAATGTGCAGCACAATGCTATGCACATTTACTCAGAAGTAAATCCCATTTAGCTCAGTGGAACTTACACCCAACTGAGTGTGCATATGTTTAAAGGAGGAAAAGGCTCTAAATCAGGATTTCCCAAACTTGGGTCTCCAGCAGTTTTTGGACTACAACTCCCATCATCCCAAGCTAGCAGAACCAGTGGTCAGGGATGATGGGAACTGTAGTCCAAAAAAAGCTGGAAATCCAAATTTGGGAAACCTTGCTCTAAATGATGAGTTTGTTTTCAGTTCCAGGTTGGATAGCTTAAATCTTTCAAATGAAGTGTCATGGGTAGGCAAACTAAGGCCCGGGGGCTGGATCCGGCCCAATCGCCTTCTCTATCCAGCCCGTGGACGGTCCGGGAATCAGCATGTTTTTACATGAGTAGAATGTGTCCTTTTATTTGAAATGCATCTCTGGGTTATTTGTGTGGCATAGGAATTCGTTCATTTATTTTTTACAAAATATAATCCAGCCCCCCACAAGGTCTGAGGGACAGTGGACCGGCCCCCTGCTGAAAAAGTTTGCTGACTAGATCCTACCATTGTGGTTATGGTTGCAATAATGCTACCTGCCCCGGTGCCAGGAAAGAGCAGACCATCCATATTTTGCCAAGCTAAAAAGCAAGAATGCAATGCAATGTGAAGCTGAAAACTCCTTTGCACCAATTCTCTTCACAAGCTAGTCTATGTGTGTGCGTGCCCATGTGGGCACTGTCCATTTTAACACTGTCATAACACTGTCCATTTTAAAGACTAATTTTGCTAATATTAAAAAGCTTCATCTATTATTGAAGGGGCGGAGAACAGAGCTCCTATTTGTGTGAGGGGAAAATATTTCACGGAATGGTTTCAGAGTTACCAAAATTCCCAGTTTTGCCATTTTTGAGCCATAAAAATAATTGAGAGAGAGGGGAGGGATGGGGGAGATAAGAAATCCATGACTTTAGCCCACATTTTCTCCATTTTTCTTGCTCCTGATATCATTGTGGAACAAGAATTTCCTCCTCCCCACCCCACTCATAATTGCCTCTGGGTGAAACAGAACCTGCAAATATTCGAAACAAGCTTTTAAAACCCAGCAAATTGTGTTAGAGGCAAATGTTAGATGAGCACGGACATCACAAACACCAGTCCCTCTTTCAAACTACTTGCCGGTGCTGGTGCTCTAATCAGTCTCTGGCGAGATTCATGTCCCTGTGCATGGTGACTAAGAAATTCACCTTATTTCAGTAGGACTTGAAATGGACACAGAATATTAGTATAAAGTCCAAACCTTATACCCCTGCCCTCTGCACATACAAACAGGCAAATGTTCCACCAGAACCACCAACTTACAGCCAAGACCGTACCTAAGACAGTGAGTCTGGTTCCACTTCCAAAATGAAGTTCATATGCAGAGCACAGAGGTACGAGGCACTACGAAAATCATTTGTCTTCTTCTCTAGGCAGCAAACCAGTGCTTTTTTTCCTGGGGGGACGCAGACCCCTAAACAGTTTGTGAATCTTTTTCTTTTGTCCATTTACTGTATCCCCCCCCAATCTGCACTATAAAATTGTGATTTTTTTCTTGAGTCGAAATGAGAGTACCCCAAACATTGTTTTTAAGAAAAAAAGCACTGCACCAAACTGTTGTTTAGATATATCTTTGCCATGCAAGTTCACACTCAAACTGCCTTTCTACAGCAGACTATTTGGGCTTTACTTAAGGATGTTTCGGATAGCTGGAGAACAGGAAAAGGGGAAGACAAGTGGAGACCCCAGGACCACTTCTGACCCCTTAAGTGGGGAGGGGGCACCTATTGGTCCCCTGAATTGTCAACTCTGGAGGAGTGGGTTTTAAGTGAGATGGTGGCTGTGACTAGGGGTGGGGGTGGAGGGAGTTCAATTCAGTTCACATTTAAAGGCAAACCTACCAAACTTTCTGCAAGAAGATGTGAACCAAAGCACAACCATCCTTTGAATTTTGAGCTTCCCCGAATTTTGAAATGCGTTTCTCTCTTTTTAATTAAACGTCAAACTATATCTAATACACATTTCCTCTATTCCATTTATTGTCATTCTCAATCTGCTGCTCATCATTCAAATTCTGCCAGCCATTTCGTTTCACTACAGTTCTTTCTCAAATGTTCCATAAAGGGTTTCCAGTCTTCAGTTTTAAAAAGTTGGTTACGTTGGTCTCCCGGTCTTGCTTCCCAGTGAGTGTAAAATGCAGTTCTCCAGCAGAGTAGTATGTACAAAAAGGCTAGGATAACATGTGCATAAAATGCATATATTAGCGAAAGCACACTGCAAACATGCATTATAGTGGGGAAACTTGCCTTGCAAAAATGTATATATTAATATTACAATTCTGGTGAATTTTCATGAGGGATTTTTTTAAAAAAGAAAGAAACTGATGTGGGAACCTGAACCTTGTGGTTGTGAGAATGGCCACACCAGCAGTCCTCTTTAGGGCTGATCTGTATGTACCACCATCCTCTCTAGTTGTCAAAAGGATTTTCAGTGAAAACAAGTAGTTCTGGAGGAGGTAAAGTTTCAGGGTCAACAAACACTGTACAGTGGTGCCTCGGGTTAAGTACTTAATTCGTTCTGGAGGTCCGTTCTTAACTGTTCTTAACCCGAGGTACCACTTTAGCTAATGGGGCCTCCCGCTGTCGCTGCCACGCAATTTCTGTTCTCATCCTGAAGCAAAGTGCTTAACCCGAGGTACTATTTCTGGGTTAGCGGAGTCCGTAACCTGAAGTGTCTGTAACCTGAGGTACCACTGAAGTCCTTTGACCTACCTCTTAGGTAGCAAATTTGTGTCTGGGGTATACCACTTTTAGACTGGGAGCGAGGGGCTCTCATCACTGAAGCCTGCTCTGGTGAGGGTGGAAACACATTTGTCAGACAGAAATCGAGGCTACAAGAACATGAAACGTTTCAAGTCAAAGAAATTCAGTCGCGTGAGCCCCCACCTGCAATATGAAATAGGGCGTCCATATACAGTGGTACCTCAGGTTACATACGCTTCAGGTTACAGACTCTGCTAACCCAGAAATATTACCTCTGGTTAAGTACTTTGCTTCAGGATGAGAACAGAAATCGTGCTCCAGTGGCGCGGCAGCAGCAGGAGGCCCCATTAGCTAAAGTGATGCTTCAGGTTAAGAACAGTTTCAGGTTAAATACAGACCTCCGGAATGAATTATGCACTTAACCTGAGGTACCACTGTATTCTTTTACCACCTTGAGAACTAGGCCAATGTGGAACTCCAGAAGTAGCTGTTGACCTTACAACTAGTTTTCCTCCTCCAGAAACTACGACCAGTGTGGTGTAGAAATCCAGTGAGGTGTCGTGGTTAGATTGTTGCCTGACAAGGACCTGGGAGAGCAGGGTTCAAATCCTTACTCGGCCACATGAAACCCACTGGGCGACCTTGGACCCATCTCAGTCTCTCCGCCTAACCTTAACTCACAGGGTGCTGTGAGGATAAAATGGGGTTGTGGGAGAATCATGTATACCACATTGAGCTTCTCGCAAGAAAGGCAGGCTATAAAAGCAACAGCGATAGCTGTTGAGCCTGAAACTAGAAGTGAAATGGTTATGCATTCATGGTTAAATGGCTCTCCTCAAGGAGCCCTGTTCCCTGCCGGATCATAGCAGCTGGGGTGGGCTGTATGCCAATGTGGTCCCCCCATCCCCCCCAAAAAAATCCATTTCAGAAGAGGGGTTTGCTTCAGGACTGCAGGAGTGGAGGAAATAGTTACATTTCTACCCACCTATCCCTGCTGCAATCCCAGTAATTATCATTCTCTCCCAGCTGTTGCTGCTGCTTGCATTTTTAAATGCTTGCATGTTAAATGCAGAGATATCCTTAACACCACAACTCACTTGGCCCTAATTCTGCCCATTTTTCTTCTTCCTTTCTTCATATCCACCAGAGTAAGTCCTGAACCCAAAACCAGATCCCAGAACTCAGCCAAGGCACAAGATAAAGTGTTGCTTTGCCCTCTCCTGATATCATTTATTTATTTTTTGTAGAGTTCATGGTGGGTTGTTGGGTTTTTTTTAGTCAATGTTTTCTCAGGTTCAAATCCATGCAATCCCTGGTTCAAATCCCACATCAGCCATGAACTCATGGGTGCTCTTACACTAGAAGCTATAATAATTTTGATTGTTGTTGTTATTCTCACAGGGGTCCTTTTTCCTGAATGGGTTTGTATCGTACTTTGAATTGTGGCCATCGTGCATTTTGCTATTTTAGTTCCTCTGTGCCCCCTGCCTGCTGCCCCTTGGTTCCTTTTAAGAGTGGATATTCTGACACTCAACTTGGAAATCTTAGAGATGCCGGCGTTTTACTTCCGCACACAATCCAGCCAGAGCTGAGTGGCCCCTTTAAGATTCAGCAGAAAAGTGAAGCCTGTGCATCAGTCCTTCCTAGTGAAATCAATGGGGACAGTTAAAGGAAGTGGGTGCTAATCATACAGTCCTACATGCCTTGCAAATTTATTGCCTACCATTCCACCCACCGAGAGAACCCAAAATGCCAGACAATCCCAACATTCATTTAAAGGGTCCCACTCATCCTCAAAAACACTAGGGTTTCTGATTAGAATCCCTCAGCAATTCCCCCCCCCCAAAAGTGTGCTTTAAATCTCATCTTTTTAAATGTTACAATGCAAAACAAAAAACCACAAACCTTTGCCCAAATCATTTATGGCTTCCCGAGTCCCTGGATTCTGTAGATTAGTTCAGCTGAGGTTTGCATCAATTGCACAGACACATTTTTAATTTATTTGCTTCTGCTTTCTCTCGTTCTGCCAGCCCTGTGGCAAGACTTCCTTGCGCCCACCGTTCATGTGTTTCTTACCTAGTACAGTGAGCCGCGTTCCTTGTCCGAAATGCAGCTTTTCAGCGGAACACGGCATCACGTTCCTGTAGGCAAACCTTTACTAAAGAGCTAAAGGCACCTAGCCTCCCAACATGACACAGGTGAGGACAGGGAATGGTCTGTGTGTTTGTTATGCCTGTTCCCACACCTGAGCTGCCTCCCATGATTCCCACAGCTTAAGGCTATGCTTGCTTTAATTTGTGTGCTTGGCTCCACATTAGGCGTTTGCCTTCCACAGTCTGGTGAAGCCAGACGTGCTAATAAACTGAGGTTGGAACTAGGTCGGTGGAGTTTCCCAAAGTGCTTGAAATTGACCATCTGGGACAGAGGGTGAAAAAAGACCTAGAAGTCAAGAGGTCAAAAGGAGCCTAGGTGGTGGGAAAGAATGTGGAGTTTCACTTCTAAAACAATTCTTTCTTTACTTTCTTTCACTTATGGGAATTCGGTTTGGGGACAACGACAACTTTATAAGCTCCTCAAGGGCTCAATAAACAGAGATTTGGGAAATCCTGGAGGAAGCACAACACACACACACACCTTTCCATTTTTTCAGGTATTGTTAAGGTGATGAGAACCAATAAATGAAAGGCAGTGTGATCTAGTGGTTAGAGTGCCCATCTAGGACTCAGCCATGAAACTCATTGGGGGGGCCTTGGATCAGACGCTCTCTCCCCCTTGGTCTAGTCTACCTCACAAGGCTGTTGTGGGGAGAAAATGGAGGAGGGCAAGTAGTGAGAAATAACTAGAGATGCTGCCTCAAGTGGAAATAAAATAATCAGACGATGACATTGCCGTACCTCACATAATTGTCACTCCTGTAAAATTTACCATATACAGTAAAAAGTTAAATGTGAGCAGATATCTGAAGTGCTTTTGCAACCCTTAAAATGAGCCATTATTTTAATTCCACCCTCCACATTGCCAACCCCTTCTGCTTACCTAAAACAGTCAGTCGAGTTCCTTGGCCAAAGCTCAGAGGGTTATTGTAACACAGTGTGAAACCATTATCACCAAAGAGGGAATATCTCTCCTCAAAGATTGGGGAAGGTCTCTCAAAGAGAACACCACCTGCGCAGGCAACCGCTTTGCCCTTAACTTTTTATCTGGCTGCCTGCTGCTGGGAAAAGCCTCTGGCCTAACAAACACAGCAACATCTGCAAGCCACAGGTTCCCCAAACTTGCTCCACAGCTTCCCAGATACTCCTGGAACATAGGAAGTTGCCTTGCCCTAGATTAGACTATGTATCGTCCAGACAAACCAGTATTGTCTAGACCAGGGGTCAGCAAACTTTTTCAGCCGGGGGCTGGTCCACTGTCCCTCAGACCTTGTGGGGGGCCGGACTGTATTTTTTTTAGGGGCGGGGGAATGAATGGATTCCTATGCCCCACAAATAACCCAGAGATGCATTTTAAATAAAAGCACACATTCTACCCATGCAAAAATGTGCTGATTCCCGGACCGTCCGCGGGACGAATTTATAAGGCGATTGGGCTGGATCCAGCCCCTGGGCTTTAGCTTGCCTACCCATGGCTTTCCCAACCTTCTGCCCTCCAGATGTTTGGGACTACAGCTCCGATCATGCCTACTGGACATGTGGCCAGGGTGAATAGCTGCTAGAGTGCAGAACATCTGGATGGCACTAGGTTGAGAGACAACTGTCCTAGTATATACACTAGCATGGTCAAATGTAACCCATGAACCAGGTGGTCGCAGGTATGGGCAGCCACAATTCCCATCTTTCCAGTGCTTATATTTCTAAATACCATGATCATGCTATTTACTCCTAATGTATTATATCAATGACTGCCTTGTTTATGTAGATGAGGAGGGCTTCTGCAAAATGTGCAGATTCTGATCATATTCATCCTCCGCTGTTTGGAGCAGATGGCAGAGCGTGAGGCTCTTAATTTCAGGGTCATGGGTTTGAAACCCACATTGGGCAAAAGGATTCCTGCATTGCAGGGGGTGGACTAGAGGACCTTCACAGACCCTTGTATCTTTATGTTTCTATGACATCAGTCCAGCTAACACATTTATATTTCCTGCTTCTGTCTCTCTTCTCTCTCCCCTGGACTTTAAGAAATTGGTCTTTTGCTCTCTCCTTCTTTGTCAGCTTTCAGACTGAATGTGCAATGGATTGGCTGTGGCTACCTTTGAGCCCGATGTATGGAAGTGAGAGCTGGACCATAAAGAAGGCTGATCGCCGAAGAATTGATGCTTTTGAATTATGGTGCTGGAGGAGACTCTTGAGAGTCCCATGGACTGCAAGAAGATCAAACTTATCCATTCTGAAGGAAATCAGCCCTGAGTGCTCACTGGAAGGACAGAGCCTGAAGCTGAGGCTCCAATACTTTGGCCACCTCATGAGAAGAGAAGACTCCCTGGAAAAGACCCTGATGTTGGGAAAGATGGAGGGCACAAGGAGAAGGGGACGACAGAGGACGAGATAGTTGGACAGTGTTCTTGAAGCTACCAGCATGAGTTTGACCAAACTGTGGGAGGCAGTGGAAGACAGGAGTGCCTGGCGTGCTCCGATCCATGGGGTCACGAAGAGTCGGACACAACTAAATGACTAAACAACAACAACAACAACAACCTTTGAGCCCTCAGTAAAGTTTTGGGCAAACCAATTCCTAATTTGTTGTTGTTGTTTAACAAAGCTCTCTTTTCTGTCTGGGACAGCTAAGGTTTCCCGCAGGTCAGCCAATTTGTGCCACACAATATATATCTAGTTTTGTTAAGATAGCAACTTGGAACTCGAAAATATGTTAGATTTACCATTTTTTCAGTACAGAGGTTCGTGAGAAGGTTCGTTTTCTTACCTAATACCGTCAGCCTGGTCCCTGCTCCAAAGTGTAACGGATCAGTGTTTGCACAGCCAACTACCTCATGAAATAACCCCAATTTGATTCCCTACAAGGTAATCCTCTGTCTGCTACAGTTGGAAAGCTGCTCTGTCAAAGTTCCTCCTCTCTGCCACTACTTCATAAGTTACCCAATGCTGATAAGACATGAAAAGAAATGAGGCTTTCTGTTGGAAGGCAGAGACATTTGTTTCCTCCTGATCTGTCACAGAAATTAATTGCAGAGCACACTTTATCTAAGGCATCTGTTTCTTGACAACATCTCTCCCCCTCCCCCTCTGACCTTTAATTCCTTGGAGGCTCCAGGACAACGATAGATGAGCTGAGAACGTCACCTGCATGCTCTCTGAGCATGGAATCTGCTACTACATTAGGATTGTGATAATTTGCATGTGTATGAATGGGACTTGAAGGACCTAACACCCCCAGACAGAATTTTCACACCGTTTCATTCTATCTCATAGAATGCTCACATGACTTTACATGCAATACTTCTCAGTGAAGCTATCTCACAAATTCAGAGCCAAGGTTGATGAGACATCAGCAGAGATCCATGAAATGGGTCACCACCGATTCCTTCTAGGGTGGCCACATGTCCATTTTCAGGGCTGTTGGAGGAAAGTCCTATGTCTGAAGGTGTCTTTTACCTGTAAAGGTAAAGGTAAAGGGACCCCTGACCATTAGGTCCAGTCGTGACCGACTCTGGGGTTGCGATGCTCATCTTGCTTTATTGGCCGATGGAGCCGGTGTTTGTCCGCAGACAGCTTCCGGGTCATGTGGCCAGCATAACTAAGCCGCTTCTGGCGAACTAGAGCAGCACATGGAAATGGCGTTTACCTTCCCACCAGAGCGGTACTTGCACTTTGACGTGCTTTCAAACTGCTAGGTTGGCAGGAGCAGGGACCGAACAACGGGAGCTCACCCCGTCGCGGGGATTCGAACCGCCGACCTTCTGATCGGCAAGTCCTAGGCTCTGTGGTTTAACCCACAACGCCACCTGCGTCCCGTCTTTTACTTGAGGGCTGTCCAATTATGCAAACTTATTTTATAAATTTGCATCTATACATATAAAATTCCAAGCAAGTTGGCCTCCTCTTTTTGTCATCCCTTTGGGCAATGCATCTGACCACCCAAAGTCTCCACAAAGCAGGGAGAGGTGGGTGAAGGTATGGTATAAAGCTGTAGTTGGATTACAACTCCCATCGTCCCTAGCTAGCAGGGCTTGTGGTCAGGGATGATGGGAACTGTAGTCCAAAAACAGCTGGAAAGTTTGGGAAACCCTGATATAAAGCATGGTTTGGCAGGCAGGAATGAAAACTTCCATCCAGAGCTTTCCACCACACTTTCATTTTGTCTCTGAAATCACTTCTCTCCAGCAATATTTCTCCCAGTGGAGCTTCATGAATGGAAGTAATCCCTTTGGGGTGGGGACCAGCTGGAGAGAAGCAGTTTCATGGAGAGAGCATGGAGAAAGGAGGGATTCAAGCCCCCTCCTCCCTTTCTTCAAACCTCCCCCAGCTTTATAGAAAAATCAGCACAACTTGGGTTTAGTTGTGCCTTTACCACATGGGTGGGGAAACATTTAGCCCTCCAAATGTTGCCAGACTACAAATCCCATCATATCTGACCACTGTCCAAGCTCGCTGGTGCTGATGGGAACTGTAGTTCAACAATTTCCCTCGCTTTATCACATCCAGCCTTCTGTAATCAGGTGCTAAGACACTAAGTGATGCACAGGTGTGGAGAGTTACTCCTTGCGGAGAATGAAAAGACCTCTCTTGGATGTCCCTACTAATTATTTAGCCAGTCTGTTCCTGCACTGAAATGGTTCGTTGGAGACTTGCCACAGACATTTTGCTTCAAACAGAGGTGGAATTTAAGAGTTCCTCCTCAGGCAAAACACCTGTGGAGTTTTGAAGGGAGCCAAATAGGTGTGAATAAGATTGGCTGAAACTCTTTCTCTCCTTCTGGTACGCACACCAACCTAAGTAGTCCCCAAACTTCTCCTGGAGCAAAATTGCCAGTGAATTTGGAGATTGCTCCTCAGGCAAAAACATCTATTGCTGCTCAGGGGAATCCAAAATAAGTCTTGATGACTAACAAATTTTCTTGGTAGGTGTGCTGATTCACAACATCCCCATTTCATTTTAGGGAACAGTTTAAAAAGGACCTACATCCCAGACCCCTTTGCTTTTACAAACCTCTGTCGCAATTAGCCAATTCCAATACAAAA